ATACAAACTGGTAAAGCAGGTTAGTAGTTCCAGGAATACGGGTTAGTAACAAAATATATATACAGTCTTTGGTATTGAAGTATCGCTGTATGACTTCTTACTGAGTCTACGTGCTCACTCACTGTGACTCTTGCTGGCTACGTTCGTTCTGTCTGTCTATTACCTTCACCCTCTGTTGCTCTCGTCTCTCGGGTCTTCACGTAGCAGTAGTATATGTATATATTGGGTGAGTCCATTTGTGTAAAAAGGGGAGAACCCCTCAACATTTATAATACCCAGAAATTCATACACAATGTTCTCAAGGACACATGGCACAGTGGATAAAGGTGTTGGTTTGATTCAGTGACAGGACACAATACCCGGTTAAGGCAGTGGAGAAATTGGAGAGGGGAATTAACAGGAGATAACTGACATCCATTAAACATGGCACGTGGAATTAGAACAGTCTATCCCAGTGAGCGAAATAGATAAGTTCGACATTCCAACCGGAAGCGTACAACGGCCGAAACGTTGTAATAAAAATGGCGACAAAGATGCGGACAATAGTCCGAATAATGTAAATAGTATACATAATTATTTATTTAAATACATCTTAGTATGTATGATTTCACATATCCAAGTTAGTAAGGAATTATATACATTATGTACACTGGGATTATTGTCCACATTGGCAACGTCTAATTTTTATCCCCGCACCCCTACGCACGGATAACATAGTGTGTCAAAAGGATAGTTATTCCTTTGACACTGCTATTATTATATACACGTTTGACACCTTCATCAATGTTTATTTCCAAATTGAAAAATATGTGAGGCAAGTACAATGCGATATTTTTTACCTTTTATAAAGACTTATCATTTTCTATTTTATAAAGAAATAAATTTGAAATGAAATATTTTTATTCAAACATTTATAAAAACATATCAAAATATGTAAACCAACTCCGAAGCAATATTTATCATTTACCATTCTATAAATATAGAACATGGTAATTTAAGTAAACATATGGCATAAATGTACAGTGAAATAATGTTTGGTTCTGAGAAAGAGATGCTCTCAAACTATTTTAGCGAAATTATGTGGCGAGAGCAAATGAATGAAATGCTCGAAAAATGCATTTTTTCAAAATTTTTAATTAGCCTTACTCATTATGTGTTTATTTAAATTTTCTTGTTCACAAGCATTTTTTATAAATTTATGAATAAAATAATTATTTTCGTATATATTTTCTTATGAAATGGAAAATAATAAATATTTCATTATATTTTTATAATATTGCAAATATAAATGTTATTGTTGTAAATAATCTAATAAATTGTATTTAATATATTGGCTGTCAATTCTCAAGAATAAAGAAAATGTATAAATCCAGTTGAGGAGAGCTATGATTATTCCAAAAGGAGCAGGAATAATCATGGCTCTTTACAGCTTCCTTTCTCTTGTAGCTCTTAGCAATGTTTGCATCGTTACAACACTCTATTAACCCTACACTGCCATCCGTTTACAGAAACGCATAATTAACTCGCATATCGACTTCTATCTTTCTTTTCCCCATTACGTTCGGTAGGTATGAAATTATCCAGGCTCACTTTAATTACAATGTGTCTTAGATATTTCAACTAGCTTTTTTTTATTTTAAGTATGACTTTACATTTTAGTACACATTTCACTTAATACCTCTTCATTGCTCACATGTTATTCTCAGCATCTGCCTGTAAAACCACATTTCTGTCACTTGGCGTCTCTTCTTCATTTATAAAAAATTGCCCAGCATTCACAGCCATGTAGATGCAGAGCTATATTTCTGAACGCATTTTTTTTGTTTCTAACATTATTTTTCTTATTTCTAGAACTGTGTTCAGCTTTTAGAAAGCATCACTGAATATAATGTCTGTTTTCCCTTCTAAACATGATTTTAAACGAATATGAGTTTGTTTTTTTTGTGGCTCATATACGTTTTCGAAGGGAATATATCTGCATCTAATGACGTAGCAAGTGTGGACGAGTTTTCGAATTCAGTATTCCTTCTACCGACTGATATTTACGCGATAATCTTTTAGGGAAATCTCGTTAAGAGACATAAAAATATTTTCCGTTAATGCTATGGACAACTGACAATATTGATTAAAATATATTGCTTTGAATATTACACTCTTATCGACGAAAACTGTAAAGATGCTTATACTAAATATTTTTTTCGAAGACCGCGTACACTAAATAGAAGAAAACCTCGTATCTTTTATAAAGCACCGTTTTAACATAAGAGAACAAAAATTTGAACATCACTTCTCCATAATATAAACGCGATAGTTTTTTCAATATCCGGGTATTCTGTGACTAACATAGATTTGGTAATTTCATGTAAGCTACTCCAACATGGGAAATCTCGAACAAGTCAATGTGAAATACAATATTGTTACTGAAGTGTGAACATTAAACTCTTTCACTTTCTCTTTCACTGCTGTTTACCTTTGGAGGAGGGGAAAAAAGTGTAAGAGAAAGTGTATGTGTAACTCCAGCACTAACCGGTCAAAGCGAGTTATCTGATAATGCTTCTCTTATACAAATATGGCGTCAGTCAGTGCAGAGAGGCGCAGATTCGTGTTCGGCTTTCCGATCAACGCTGAGCGTGATTTTTCCCGACACGGCGCGAAATTGCAGCGGGTGATTGGCGAGGCGCAGCGAGCCGTCTGCCTGAACGCCCCGAGTGTACAGTTTTTCGACTCGCGTCAAAAATACCGATGCATAAAGGTCGAAATCACATTAGAGAGATTATGGCCAACTAAGCACAAAATAGTACAAACAACATGGCGGATAATGAGAAGTACTTTGATAAATGGAAGTCTCTCGTGCGTGTTCGTACAGTTGTACATTGTTTAGGTAAAGTTAAGTGGTTGGGTACACACGGAAACAAAGACGGCATAACGGCCAGAGAGGAAAATAATAATAAAAAAATCAATCGAATATCGATACGTTAATGACGACGATTATCGTAATAATAAACGAGATTAAGCTTATGAAAATAACAGGCAGTTAGCAAAGGCTTCTGTTGAGTCATTGAACTTTAAAGATAAATGCCCTGCCTCATAGTCAGTTGGAAAGAAGGAGGTAATTCTGGTTTAATCTCTTCCGTAATTTACTATAACTTGAGTTATCATGCATAAACTTGAGGGAAATCTTAGATAACCTCCCGACAGTCTGCAGCTATAACAATGAGTTACATAAAAATAATAGAAATCATTTTTAGTTCCTTTTTACGATAACCAAACTTCGTGGGATGGTTTTGAGGCACTTACCAAAGGTGTGGCAAGCTGGGATCGTCTCCTCCAGTCCGATAACATCAATAAGTCATCTTCTTGACAATTTGAACATGGTGAGATTCCAACCTGGGTCTTATGGTCAGAAAGAAAACTTTCTAACCACTCGGCTACGTTATTGAAATTTGGTAGACAATTGAGAGCCGTCTATGGTTGTGTTAGCACGATGTTACAAGGCATGGTGACCGTGGGATTGAGTGTGATGTCCTTGTTTAGACTGTTGATCATGCTAGATAACGCACACTCTTCCATAACCTTCAATTAAGGTCCGCTCAGCATAGTTGCAGTATAAATCAGAGATGGGCTCTGTGGGTGTTGAACAAATGTTCCTGAGCCAACTCAACAGCCGTACATATGATCACTTTTTAATATGAAAGTTAAACAGATATACGAACTCAAATAAAGCAAGTTTTTCAGTATAATCTGCGTTTTCTCGCTAATTGCAGGTAATTTTGCATATAGCTGCTGCACATGCAGAAGCTAGAACTCATTTGAGTGTATTTTCTATAGCAAGGTTGCTTTATAATCCACAGGTGGGCTCTGTGGGTATAAACACAAATATGCTTGTGCATGCGTCTGCAGTGGTGATTAGATAGCCATGCTGGTAGACAGACATCTTCGGATAGGGGTACTGTGCCATTTTTAGAGTGTATCATTAAATTATCTTTCGATTTAAGTAAAAATAAAACGCGTTTCTTTTCAATTTTTGACATTAATTTGATTGAAAATGTTTTTTTTTGTTGTTGAACTGGACAGCGTGAACTGGACTTATGATCTGGACTTATGATCTGGATTAGATGAACAGTTAGCGTTTTAGTTTCCCAGAAAACTGTTTAACCCTATAAAATTTCTTTTGCTATTTACATAGATAAATGATTTGTCTGTTCAAATACCTGTCATTTCAAAACTGCCTAATCATGGATACTTTTATATTTCTGAGCCAATTTGAAGCATTTATTTATTATAAGCTAAACAACATTTCTCCATCTCTGCATCATGTACATTTTCTTTTAGCCTCTTTGCTAGTTTTAATGCATACCATTTAATATACGTAGAATTGGTTTGATATATAGATATATAGTTTCCCTTTAGAGTTGTCACTAGGGCAACCACATCTTTGTCATCTCATATATAATAATTTTATTTCTTGTTAACAAAATCAAGTTTTTTGTGATAGATTAGATGATCGGTGTGAATTTTAGATTCCCATGGAATTTTACAACAGTGTTTGAACAGAGCATTTTACAAATACTAAAGGAAAACATTTGCTGCAATGATGTAGATATATTGTTTATTTGAATCGATCATTATTATTGTTGTTATAATTTAGTTTATATGAGATGATCCACTCTGAACATGATCCACCCCGAAGATGATCCACCCTGAAGATGATCCATCCCTGAAGACCTTCTCTGTTTTGATTGATTTACTTTTACGGCATATCAAAATTTTGCAGGTTATTCCAAACCAGAAATACTTTTAAATTGTAACAAAATATTGGAGATAATAATGATTTAGTGATAAAAATTTGACTAATTAACAAGATCAAGAAGTGGTGGATTCATACTTTTCTCAAGGTCATTTGCGCGAAAGCTAATATAACGAACCAGACTGGAATTGGAACTCGGATCTCCGATTAAAATTTCAGAGCTGTTAACCATTACACCACCTGCACATCCAAGCTTACAGCAACTGGTATCACCAAACGGTCACCCATCAAAGTACTGACTAGATTCGTTGTTGCTTAACTTCTGTGATCAGACGAGAAACCGGTATTTCAATATGATATGGCCGTAGGTCCGATGTGTAAAATTTATCTTCGTTATAGAAAAGAATAGAATTTTTCAAATACGCTATACGTTTTATATGTGATTATTTCATTTTGTTGTACGTCTATATTTTGCATAAGAGTTATTATTCCTAATATATTATGTGCCATTTGTATAAATTAAGAATATATACTGTTTCTTTGATACCGTTGTCTCGACATAAAGGGTCTCTATGATATTAAAATGTTATAGAGTCGTTATATTTTGCTGATATTATATGCGTATTATATGTTCTAAAAATCATATAGTATCAATGTATTATTGGAATAATATATAGCTTTTCTAATTTATTCGTTATATACTATTGGTTCAGATAAGATTAGCCAATTTCTTCCTCTATTATTTATCTTTCAAATATTTTAACAATTACAATAATAAAATAAAATGTTCTTATATATATATGATGATAATTTTATACTTTTTATTCGTTGTTTGGTTTCTATGGTAACAACAACAACAATAATAATGAAAAGTGATACTAGTAATGATGAACTGTTTACCCCGACATCTAGTTTGAAATATATATGTGTTTATGCGTGTATGTTTCTATGTGCGTATCTCTGATGGTCGCCCATTGTAGTGGAAGGGTTTGCGTCGTCCAATGATTCTGAGGGAGATGCCATCGGGAGTTCTAAATTCTTTGCCGGTTAGTTTGAAGACGAGGACCCAAACTAAGCGCGTCCAACCTCAACGGTGGAAAAAAGCGGATGATGATTGCAACAGATATCAACTGTTGAACCAGCGGATAAAGAGGCCTACGCACCATGGAAATGCTACAGAAGGCTCCATTCGAAATTATAAATGCGTCACCGGTAGTCCGTTGCAGTTTCATAACTGGAAGTTTCTAGTCCTGAACCTGCACGTTGGCGGCGAATTTTGTCATCAACGCCATCATCATAAAGGAAGCGATCAGCAAAGAAGGAATTAACCGACAAATATATTTTATTGGAATGATATAATATATATATATATATATATATATATATAGCTTTCCCTGACGATCCGTTTAGGTGAAACCTAGGTAGGTTTGTCTGGCTCACTAGGTGTATCTAGGTTTGCTCTACGATTGTATTGAGCTCTTTTGTTAGTTAGTTGTTACTCGTATCGGGGTTTTTTCTTTGGGCTTCAGACCTGCATCTGTGCGATTTTTTGTCGGCAGAAGTTTATGTTTGTAGCTCTTTCTTTTTTTAAAACCTTTTTTTCCCTCGAAATTGATTTGATTAACAAATCAAAAATTCGAGGGTTTTTTTAAACGAGTCTAGTTATTTATATTTATATATATATATATATATATATATATATATATATATATTGGTATTATATATGTAATTCATATACGTTATAGGAATCATAACATCTCTGTGTCATCGAAGGCTTACGGCCACAACACATTGAAACACAGAAATTAAGCAAAGTCTAGCCTGGTCTTTGCCTGGATGTGTAACCGCTTGGGAAAAATACTGGAATCTTGGATTTGCGGATGGTGCAATGAATAAGGACTGAATTGTTAATCGGAGCGCCGAGTTCTAATTCCAGTTAAGTTCATTATATTCACTTCCGCGCAAATACCATTGGGAAAGGTATAAATCCATATCTTCTTCCCCAACTAAGAGTTAATTAGTAAAAATTGCATCGCTAAGCCATTATTATCACAAAAAGGATTGTTACAATCTAGAAATATTTTTCTAGCTTTAAATAACCTCCAAATAATTGATAAGTCGTAAAAAATGAATCAATAGTATCGAAATGATGTATACATTTTATATATTGTTGGTATTATATACGATATCTCTATACATTATGTCACTCATATAGTGCCTCTATTTTATCGAAATTATATATTGCTATTATATTTTATGGTTATTATATACGATTTTTTATGTTATGGCAAGTATATTGTGTCTCTTTGTTATCAAATATATATATATATATATATATATATATATATATATATAGTTTCTATATTTTGTTGGCATTATATATGTTATGAAAATTATAGTTTTCTTTTTATGCTGATAAAATAAATCATATTCAGCAACAAACGACATTAAAACTTTGGCGAATATAAATGCATGTATTTTGTAAGATGAGAAAAGCGTGTTAAATGCTTTAAATAAATGAAGGAGAACAATATTGACATTTTATTTAACTTTTACTGTACACCGTAATCAGAGAAAAAAATGAGAAGAAAACAATAAAAAAAAATGTAATACAAAAACACTGAGAAGAAATGGTAAAAAAAGATGAACAAACGTATAAATCAGAACATGAAAAGAAAAGAAAGAAATAAAGGAAAAAGAAAGAAAGAAAAAGAAAAAAGAATGAAAGGAGAAAGAAAAGAAAGAGAAAAGAAAAGAAAGAAAGAAAGAAAAAGATAAGAATGAATAAAGAAAAGAAAGAATAAAGAAAAAAGAAAGAAAAAAGAAAAGAAAGAAAAAAAGAAAAAGATAAGAATGAATAAAGAAAAGAAAGAAGAAAGAAAAAAGAAAAGAAAAGAAAGAAAAGAAAGTAAAAAGAAAAGAAAAGAAAGAAAAAGAAAAAGAAAAAAGAAAGAGAGAGCAATAAAACAAACAATAAAAATACCAAATAAGAAAGATATATGAAAGTAACAAAAAGCAGAACAT